TGCTGTTAATATTGGTGTACAAGTTTTTGTCTGGGTGAATGTTTTGTTTATCTTAGGTAGATTTTTGGAATGGAATTTCTGGGTTATTTGTTAAGTATATGATTACCATTTTAAGAAGCTGTCAAACTGTTTTCCAAAGAGGCCGATCCATTCTACACTCCCACAGTAGTTTCTGACTGTTCTAGTTCATCACATCCCACCCAACGCTTCCTACTGTCTGTTAATTATGGTTGTTCTAATGGGTGTGTGGTAATATCTCATTATAGTTTTAAATGGGATTTGTTCAGGTCTTCTCACAGCTGTTAATATAATAATGTGCTTCGTGAATTGCCAAGAGAACGGTAAATAAAGTATGCAATTTTCCCCAATTTATTTGCTCTTGGAATCCTTTTTTCTCTTAACTCAGTTGTATTCAAGGTCTAGCATTAGGCAGAACTAATTCTGGGCTGCATTATATCATTTGATTATAGTATTACTTTTAACTGTGTTCTCGATATTTAACTATGAATGGTGTTTACTTCACAATGACTCTGAAAATTGAGCAGCGATGCGAAAGTTAATAGGTTGTAGAAGTTAAAGCAAAACACTTAAGAGATTAGCGGGACATTTTTGAGAGGCAGCAGTTTTCATGAGAAACTAAATGTCAGTTTGTTCTTCTCTGTACTTGGTTCCCCAGCTCGGCCCAGATGGGCCCCAGATCTCATGGGGAGTGAAGCTGAGCTCAAGCTGAGATCCTGTCTACATCTTAATTGCCAATACTGAGATAATAATCATAATGACAGTGATATGAGTAAAATCAAATAAATTCATATTGATCGTATCTGTGCCTGCTGGGCACCATGCTGATTATCTCACTGAATCCTCATAAAAACTCTATGGCATGGAAACTATTATTACAGTAGATTAAGATTATTGCCATCTTAAATTTGGGGAACTTGAGGCATGGAGTGATTAACAGCACACACCTAGTTATAGAAAATGTCAGAATCAGTATTGGAACCTGGAACCCTGTAACACCAAGGTCTTCTTTACATAGCCCCATCAACCAAAAGGGTCAATCTGAGAAAAAATATTTTGTGTCTTAATTATGCAGAAATTGTAAGGTTGTGAGATGATTTGCAGTTTAGAATTTGGCTACTTGGAGTACTGATTGTTTTGGTCACCCTGGTCACCTCCCTATCAAATGACAGCAATGTCCTCTGGCTCCCCATGTGTCTGTCCTAGTCCCATACTCTCCAGCCTGCGGTACCCTCTCTGTTGTCTGCTTCTCTTGGCCCTGGCCCTTTTCTACTCTTGGATGCCCCCCTTCTTGTAGGATGCTCTCAGCAGACCCCTCTGCGGAGTGGTCCCTCACTCCTCTGAAACTCCCCAGAGGCCACCTGTGTAACTTCATCTGCCACAGTCTTGTTTCCTTAGACATGGGGTAATGATGGTCCAGCCTCAAGGATTGTTGTGCAGATTTAAAAGAGGTCACAAGATAAACTTGGCCTAGAATCTGGCAAAAAGACACAAGGCAAGTACAGCACTCAGGAGATGAAAGATGAGAACATAGTAATAATTCAGATTATAAATTTATTGCTACATGATGCTTTGCGTTATTTTAATCTGACATTCTCATGAGAGGTAAACTCTTTTTTTTGTTTGTTTGTTTGCTTTTGGTACCAGGGATTGGACTCACGATCTCGCGCTTACCAGGCAAGCACTTGAGCCACTGAGCTAAATCCCCAGGAAGAGGTAGATTCTCGAGGATGGAGATCAAACCATGTGATATTTACTACAATGCTTTAACCACCTAAAATCCTGGGAAGTGTTTGATGAGGGTGTGCAAACAACCTGAATCTGAGTGTTGGAAGCCCCGTAGCGAGCTTAGCTCTGGTGGCCACTCAGGATGTGACCTTGCTTTACTTCCTTGCAGTCTCAGTCTCTGTAGTGGTCATCAAGTTCAGTTTGCACAGGTCTCCAGAGCCAAGCCCTGGTATTGACTTTGTGTCAATTTGGGCATGACCATGTCTCCTCCTGTCCTCAATTTCTCTGTCTGTGAAATGGAAAGAATAACCTTACAAGAATGAATGAGGCAGGCTTGTGAAGTTCTTCCCTTAGTGATTAGGTAATGTGGTAGTTGTTCTTTTGGTTGTTTATCATTGCTGTTTCGTTGATTAACTGTAGACTTGTTTTATGTTTTCATTTTCTGGGGCTGCTGTATCAAATGCTACACACTGTGTAGTGTAAACAACAGAATTCTGCTTTTTCTTAGGTCTGGAGGTTAAAAGTCCATAATCAAGGTGTTAGCAGGTGAGTTCTTTCTGAGGACTCTGAGAAAGAATCTGTTCCGGTTCTGTCTTCCAGCTGCTGATCACCTTAAACTTTCCTTGGCTTGCAGATGACATTCTCCTGGGGTTTCTCCATGTCTTCCCTCTATGCCCACATTTCTCCTTTGTGGAAGGATACTGTCAAACTGAATTAGCGACAGCCATAACCACATTGCGTTAACTGTCTCACCTCTAAAGATCCCATTTCCTAACAAGACTACATTCTAAGGTCCCAGGGCTTAGGGCTTCAACACACCTTTTTGGAGGGACCCATTTCAACCTATAGGATTATAAGTGATTAATCCTTGTGTTTCTCTACAAAATGCCTTGCTGAAAAAATAACTTGGTATTTCTCAATAAAATAGAAATAAAAAAAGTAAAAACACTTGACAGTGATGCCCCTTTACTCCACTGAACTGGACATTGATGGCAGTTCATTTAACTGGATCAGTAGAGTGGGATTAGTTTTGACAAGGATAAGCTTCTTTCCATAGAGCAAATCCCAGAGACTTTGCCCAAAGTGGTATTTCCCACATGTGCTTTGGGAATTGCAAATCTATCATTTCTGGCTCATGACATTTTTGCAGGGCCCCTTGAATGGAAATAACCCAGCAGATCTCAGGCAGTTGGCATTTTTTCTCCATTTTTTTTTTATAGCACTGAAAACTCTCATGCTGTTCACGTGTGATTTATATTCCTCCTGTGGTCCCTAAATGCATATAATAAAAACAGATTTAGAATATTAATCTGACATGGCTCAAGCCAGCATGGTCTAATATAAATTTATTTACTAAAGATGATGAAGAATCAGAAAGAGAATTATTCTCAGCAAATATTTCTTGCTGGCTCCTATAGCGATGGTGCAGTCCCCTGGATTCCCTGTGGTATTTATGGAAGAAGCATATTTCAAGTCCTGCTCCTACTCTGCAGGTTCAGTGTCTGCAGAAGGAGTCCTGGATTTGCATTTTTTGTGAGTCTCACATCTTAAGTGGTCTGGTCCACCTTTTGTTTGAGAATGGCTACTGTCTGGTACCCTCTCAGAAGGAAAACAGGATATTGTAGAGGTCAGATGATTCCCAGAACTGGCATCTATTCAAGATGGAGGGTGAGGAGAACCAGATGTCATGTGCAGGGCAGAGGATTCAGCAGCCTAGGCAAGGACATATGTGTCCAGTGACACAGATGTGAGCTGACATCTGCTGAGTGCAGGAAAAAGGACAGTGGCTTTCAAATGCACCAGAGAAGCCTGCAAGGGTTGCTGGCATATGTACACATTGGCAGGTGGGTGGAGCTGGGTGGTAGGGTTCTGTCCATTCTTGTGGGAGTCCTGACACCTGGACTCCTGGGATAAGCCTGGTCTCTACCCTAGAGGGGCTGCTCAGCAAGGGAGGTGGAGCCTCAGGGCCACTTGGGGAGTGATTTCAGATTCCTAAACTCCAACCAGCCCTGTTGTTAATGCTCTCAGGTGACAGAAGATGACAGTCTCTTGGGACAGCATTTGGGAAGGACAGCGCCTGGAAAGGACTGTCCTTAGGATTAATGGACCTGGCTGGGTAGCCTTGATTGCATTGCTGATCCATTCCAAGCCACAGAATGTATGCACACACATTTTTTCTTTTTTTCCTTCCCCTTCCTTTCCGTTTCCCTTCTTTCTTTCCTTTCTTCTTCTTTTCTGTCTTTCTGCTCCTCCCACCCTCCCTCCCTCCCTCCCCTTTCCTTCCTCGCTCCCTTCCTTCCCTTCCCTGTCTTTCTTGATCTGAAACTTATGAAGGAGGAATGTGACACATTCAGCACACTTTCTGGAACATAGCAGACATCATTAAAGGGACAGCTCCAATCCTTGTGAGCTTTGAGATTCTAGGAAGATAATTAAGGCAGGGCATCAATCCTTTGAGTGTTGGACTGAACAGAGGGAACCAGGGATTAGAATTGGATTCTAGGACAGGGGCTTGGCCCTTACCACTCTGTCTCCACAGCTGAGGGAAGTAACAGCGGCAATGTTTTTGTGTACTACCTTGTGAGTTAAGTGCTATTGTCTTCCACATCTTACAGATGAGAAAATTGAGGCCTGCAAAGACATTGGTGTGGGCATCTGGCCATTATGCAGCAGAATCGAATTTCAAGCAATTTGTTTCTGGATTTTTAATCCTTTGTAGTTGCCAGTATAAACCATGTGCAGTACAATGTCAGAGTAGCCCCTGAACCACAATCCTCAGTCTCAAAAGCAAGTTGGGCTTCAGGAACCACCAACCTGAATATTTCTTTGTGGTACATATCTGGATGTCAAATTATACAGCCACTTCCTAATAGAGTTTGAAAGGCTAGCATTTTCATAACAAAAATTGAATATGATAAACCTCCACAGTAAGGTTGACTAAGTTCTAAGAGGAAATCTATGACACCACAATTCCTTCCTTCAAAATTCCCTTGACCACTTAATGTTTCATTCAAGCCTCTGATTTGACCCCTTCCTTTGGTGAATTACGGCTCAGAGGCCCTGTCTGACGTGGTTGTTCCTCGCTCTCACATCATTCAACTGCTGTTCACCTGCCCTGAATCTGAATATCTAATCAAGATTTCTTCCATCGTACAAATGGAGCAATGGGTTTGCTAAATATGTTGGTTTACTTCTGAAGTATTTCTCCAGAATTTCAGCTTTCTGTAACATTCTTTTTTCTTCTCTACTTTTAGGTGTAACCTTCAGTAGCAGAACAAATCAGTCCTGCAAGCAAGCTGCCAAGTCTGCTTGTGCCTTGTCAAAGAGAGCAGCTGGACTCATTTTTAATTAGTGCTTCCTAACACAACATCTCTGAGTCACTGAAGGAGACCAGATAGACCAGAGTTTAAAAATTTCCAGAAACTTTGATAGACATTGAATGCAAAAGGAAAGGATACCCAGGTTGTCTTTGCATAAATCTGGTTGATTTAAGAAAAAAAAAAGGAGAAAATAAGTGTAACTTTCACTAAGGAAGCCACATGAATGTATACTGCCCTGAGAGTGTATAATGGATAATGGTTATCGAAACAGCCCAAACCTCTATCACGGAGCAAGAGATATAGCTCGAGAGGTGACCAGGCAGTCCCGGAACCAAGGAATGGATGACTACAAGTATCAGGACAACTATGAGGGCTACGCCACCAGTGATGGCTATTACCGGGGCAACGAGTCCAACCCAGAGGAAGATGCTCAGAGTGATGTTACAGAAGGCCATGATGAGGAGGATGAGATCTATGAGGGCGAGTACCAGGGCATCCCCCATCCAGATGACATCAAAGCCAAACAGACCAAGATGGCACCGTCCAGGGCAGATGGCCTTCGGGGCCAGGCAGACCTGATGGCTGAGAGGATGGAAGATGAGGAGCAGCTGGCACACCAGTATGAGACCATCATTGATGAGTGTGGTCATGGGCGCTTCCAGTGGATTCTCTTCTTTGTCTTGGGTTTGGCCCTGATGGCCGATGGAGTGGAGGTGTTCGTGGTGAGTTTTGCCCTGCCCAGTGCAGAGAAGGACATGTGTCTGTCCAGTTCCAAGAAAGGAATGCTTGGTAAGTAGAAATTTCCATAGTTTGTTCTCCTGTGGCATTAAAAACATGAAAGGGAAGGAGAAATATAAAAATGGTCTTTCATGTTAGACACTTTATATATTCCAGAGTATTTCTGCAAAGTTCTCTTTTATAATCATTTTGCCATTAAGGTATATATTTTTATTTTTAAAAAGAAAAATAGAAAAAAGGATAGAAATAATACAGAATTTAAAAAAAACAGTAAGAAATCAGCACTAGTTAATACATTACATATTGTTATTTTAGAAATAGTTGTTCAGGTTACAAAATCTGAGCATAAAAACTCAACGACAGCACAAACTATTCTTTTTGATGAACTAATAGTGAATTAGTAGTATGGTTATCTATCTTGCACACTTACATACACAGTTATAGGTATATATCTACAAGTTGTTCTTTCATTTTGAACACTTTCTTTCCCTTTATTATTATAATATCTATTGTGCATTTTAGATCTTATTACTATTTCAGTTTATTATTATTATTTTTTACACTAGGAAGACAATATTTTTTATACTAGGAAAACAATATGATATTTACAAATGTGAGTGTGATTTATTTCACTTATGAGGATAGTCTCAAGTTGCTTCCATTTACCTATGAAAACTTCAAGATCATCCTTTTTATGGCTGGGTAATATTCCATTGTGTAACAATACCGTATCATTTTCATCTGTTCCGCAGATGATGGGAATTTTGGTTGTTTCCAAGATTTAGCTATTACAAATTGTACTGTTATAAGTATGGGTGCACATATACTGCTGTGACATCACTTTCAATTTTTCTAGGAAATACCCAGGAGGAGACTAGCTGGATTGAATAGAATTTACAATCCTAGTTTTTGAGGAATCTCCACACTGATTTCTGCAGTAGTTGCAGCAGTCTACACACCCACCAACAGTGGAGAAGTGTTCCTTTTTCTCTGCACCCTCGCCAGCTAACATTTGTTATCAGTTGATTTCTTGATGGCAGCTATTCTTTCCAGAGTGCGATGAAATCTCAATGCTGTTTTAATTTGCATTTCTCGAATGACAAGTGATGGTGAACATTTCTTCATGTATTTATTTGCTATTTGTTTATCTTCATCTGAGAAATGTGTCTTCATCTCAGATGCCCATTTTGGGAGACAGTCTTTGAATTTGGGGGGCTTGATGTTTTTCAATTCTTTATATGTTCTGGATATAGTCTTTTGTCTGAGGGGTTGCTGGCTAAAATTCTTTCCCATGCTGTGGGTTTTCTCTTCACTCTGTTGGTGATTTTTTTGAAGTGAAAAAATGTTTTAATAAGATGAGATCCCAGTTGTTGATTTTTTGAAGTGCTTCCCATGCGGTTTGTATTTTGTTCATGAGCTCTTTGCCTACCCACCCCTATGTCTTCAAGATTTTTACCTACCTTGTCTTCCACAGATTTAGTGTTTCTATTTTAATATTTAGATCTTTGATCCATTTTGACTTTAGTGCATGCTGATAGACGTGGATCTAGTTTCAGTCTTTGGCATATGGAGAGCCAATTTCTCCAGCACTATTTATTAAAGAGGCTAAGAGACTGTCCTTCTTCCAGTGAATATGTTTAGCCCCTTTGTCAAAGATAAGGTGGCTGAATGTCTTTGCAGTTGTGTTTGCATCTTCTAATCTGTTTGATTGATTCTCACATGAAGGTTTTTGTCTTACTGGCATTCAGTGAATTGGCTTAAATTTACATGGCTATTAAGCACAAGAGCTTTTGGTTTTCTACCAGGTACGTTAGACTCTTAATTCTATTTTCCAGATCTTGTTGCATTCTTGAGAGTCTGATTTCTGTCTTCACATTAAACAGTCTTCCATTTCTAAATACAAATACATCTTGGGAGTGGAAAGCCAGAGTCTCTTCTGTGTCTTTCCGGGATCCAGTGGCATCTGTTCCTGGCTTCCCTTGTATCTAAGTGCTGGTGGCTGAGTGCCATGTGACTTGGGGATGAGTGATGGGCTGGAGCCACTAGGGAGCCCCGAAGGCTGTTGGGCACCACGCTGTGAAGCACAGATGGATTCCGCATGATAGAGGACCAGCTTTGCAAGTCAATTATGAGACTAGCGCCATCAGAGCCAAGCGTCCAACACAAAGGCTTAAGTCAGAGAGGACTGTGTAAAGTTAGAAAGAAGATGGTCACAAATTATGTGCTGTAGAAGAGATGTGGCAACATACAGATGTGTGGTCAATGATGACCCAATGTCCTGAAAAACACTATTAGTCTAAGTTTGGAGCTGAGTTCAGCAAACATGAAGTTTTGATGTGTCGATGAATCTCAGATTCTCACTGTGACCAGGCATACTTTTGGCCCTTCAGAGCTCAAAATCTATCTAGGAACTTAACTCTTTCATTCATCAAATAGATACTCACTTCTTGTCTACACTGTGCTCAGGCCCTTGGGAGAAAACAACCCTTGTTTCTCAAGGAATTTATAGCAGATCCAACAGGTATTCACAAACACAGAGAATTATTTAATTACTGTGGGGATAAGCAGTGTGAAATACCTTGTGGGAGTCTTAGCTCAGTATTTGTTTAGAACAGGAGTTGGCAAACATTTCTGCCAAGGTTTGTGTAGTAAATATTTAGATTTTTTTGGGCTCAGCTACTCAAGTCTTCAGTAACTACTCAATTCTGCCTCTGTAGCACAGATGATCCACAGACAATATGTAAAGAAGTGCATGGGATGTTTTCAATAAAACTTTTTACAAAAACAAGTAGTTGTTTTCCAGCCTGTGATTTAGAGCCATTATAAATAAGATTGGGATGTGAATTTTCCCCACAGTCTTTGAAAATTGTATTTTATACATTCATGATTGACTAAAGGACCATTTAAAGTGATTAGATCCATGTTAGATATGCCCAAAAGAGATTGAATACATGCAGGAGGGGTGATTTGAGAATCTGAGAAGCAAAGATATCAAACAGAGGGCTTTTAAATTTATTATTTCTATTATTATTATTTCATTTTATTTTTGGTAATGGAGATTGAAACCAAGGAGCAATAACGCCAATCCTTTTTATACTTTTTATTTTGGGAATGGGTGTCCCTAAGTCGCTAAGTTACTGAGTCTGGGCTCACACTTGTGATCCTCCTGCCTCAGTGTGCCACAGCGCTGGGATTAAGGATCCTACTCTTGTACTTAACTACAGTTTTGTAAACACTAGCATATGAAGACTACTTGCTAATCAGCTTTAAAGCTGAAGAGGGGATTTTTTTGAAAAGGACAAACAGATCTTTAAAACTAAACCAAATTGCTCCTAATTGATGATCTAAGCGTTTCTAAGATACTAATTTGTTTTATAGCATTCCCGACTAAACTTGAGTCTCTCAGTTAGCCCAAACTGGCAGTGTCAGTAATGATTTCATGCCCTGCTGGTCTCTGGCACTGTTGTGCCTGGCAGCCTCATTAACAGAACTGCAGTATAGCTGCATCTCCTGCCAGTTCCCAAGACGAATGCTGGGAGTCGAGGGATTGTGGTCCTCACCTAGAAAGCCTACATTTTGTGCAATTTTGTCCTCGGTGTTTAATAAAAAGATGCTATGACTCAGCGCAAGAAGGGCAGACAGACTTCTGGAGCAGACAAATGTCCTGTGCATGTGAAGCACCGCTTTGTGTGCTTCACATGCACACAAATGTGTGCACACAGAAAATGTGTCTTTAAGTGCATCCAGGGAGATGGATGATTTGATGGGCTCTGAGGCCAGAATTACCAGATATTGTACCCTACAAGCTTCAGAGCCACCTTGGGGTTAGACAAGTGATGTAACAGCTGCATACATCCTTGTCTAGGGTCACAGATAAAGGTGTCAAGCAAGGGCAGGATCCCAGGTCTGTCTGACTTTCCTTCTGCTACACTACACGCCCTTTCTCTCATGCCGACTCAGTGGAAACGAGGTCACATGCTCAGGCTTCACCCATGTCATCAAGCAGACGGCTGGAATACTACAGATTGCTTACAGGAGAAAGGCAGTGTGGCACAGAGAGTAATAATTTGGGCCCTGGAGTTTGACCACTGGGGCTTGGCAGCTGGCTATGTCATTTTTCAGCCAGTGACCTTGATCAAGTTAGAATGCCTCTAATTTTCAGTTTTCCCATGTGTGGAATCAGAAGAAGGTAATGATGCGTTTGCTATGAGGGCAAAACGAAGGAACCATGATTCTGTACAGCAAGCAGGACTCAGTGCTTTCTGACTACTTCTCTGTAGGTCTTTGTACTTGGTATCATAACATTCCCCCTCAAACATTTGCAAAGAATTCTACCTGCCGTCAGGTGAGGGGTCAGCATGGGTGCTGGAACCAGGTTGCTTGGTGAAATCCTTGCTTTGCCAATTCTTAGAAGGGCGACTTTAAGAAAGTTGCTTAGCTTCTCTGTGTCATGGTTCCTGTATCTGTGAAGGAGGGATGATGATATGTTTCATGAGGATATGTGAGGATTTAGAGATTTAGTGTATCTAAATGCCTAAAACAGTGCTGATGCATAATAGGTGCACAGGGGATCTTATTAGCATTATGTTGGTTGATTGAAGTAGTTATTATGACCCACCTGATTGCTTGGTAATGGTGAACCACCCAAATTCTGACTGAATTTGGTCTGATCACACAGGCTATCTTTAGGCCAATATTACATATTTTAGTTTTTAAGGTCATCTACTGGACCTTAGCTGGTGATAAGGCCCTTTCTGCAATGCTAATCCAGTTCATTTTCTCCTTCTTTTCTTCTTGTTTTAAAAAGAGATTCTCTGAACTGACGTCCTTAGGCTTGATTTCATCTCGTCAATGACTCAGGAAAAAGACAGTAAGAGGACTTCTACCCCACGTTCAGGCCTCAGTTGATAAGACATCTTATTTTCTTTCTGGAAAGCAATGAATCAGTTCAGAAAATGAAAGACACATCCCATAGCCAGGTAACAAAGATACCTGGGTGTGCTGGGCCAGTTTTCTGAGCTTTTGGAAGGGTCATTTGTCTTGTGTGTTAT